TATATCAAAGATTTAGTATATAACTCGGTATATTAACATGTTACAGTTGATTGCTTATTCGGCATTGTTCTATAAGGCCTATTTATACTTACTGTTACTTTGCCTTGAAAATTTTAATGGTTGCCAGTGGATGAGTTGGACCAGTGCAACAAGATAGTCGGAAAAACTGAAGAGCAGAGAATACGTTCCAATGTTTCAAGGCAGGCTTCAACTGCAAAAGATGGAACAAAGTCCAGAAGATACTTTCCATTTAAGCAAGGTTATCCATTTGTTGCTACACTTAGAGTGGGTTCAGAAGGAATCCAAATGACCGTTGATGGGAAGCATCTAACGTCTTTTGCATTCCGCGATGTAAGTTCTTCAAATTTAATTCTTCGCGTTGCTTTTGGAAGTAGATGATAAACACTTGTCCCTGTGAATTCATATGCTATTTTCATGGTATTTTGTTCAGACATTGGAGCCATGGCTTGTCAGTGAATTAAGGATATCTGGAGACTTGAAATTAATTTCTGTCCTAGCCAGCGGTTTACCCACGTCAGAGGATTCAGAGCACATAATTAATTTACAAGAACTCAAATCTGCTCCTCTCTCGCCTCACAAACAAATGGATCTCTTTATTGGTGTTTTCTCTACCGCAAACAATTTTAAACGACGGATGGCTGTTCGAAGAACATGGATGCAGTATGCTGCTGTACGATCAGGGGCAGTTTCAGTGTGCTTTTTTGTTGGTTTGGTGAGCTCACTTGTGAAACCTTGTTCTTTGTTATTAACTTATTACAATGTTTATTTTCTCAACATCGGGTGTGTTGTTCATTAATTTGCAAAATTTATGTTGTGTTTTCACCACAACATATTTACGCTGTCTTTCTTATATCCTCGTTATGTTTCTGTTGAGTCTGCTTGCTAAATTATTCATCGAGTTTGTAATGTAATGCAGCATAAGAACCAAATAGTGAATGAGGAACTTTGGAACGAGGCACAAACCTATGGAGACATACAGCTGATGCCTTTTGTTGATTACTATGGCCTCATTACCTGGAAAACTTTGGCCATCTGCATCTTTGGGGTAAAATACTTAATTTTCCTCGAGTGCGCAGGGAGATCCCTTCTTTATCTAATTGATTTTCTCTCTTCAACAGACGGAGGTTGTTTCAGCAAAGTTTGTCATGAAGACAGATGACGATGCATTTGTTCGTGTGGATGAAGTGCTAGCTTCCTTACACAGGATCAAAGTGAATCGTGGCTTGCTTTATGGCCTCATTAACTCAGATTCGCGACCTCATCGAAATCCAGAGAGCAAATGGTACATCAGCTCTGAGGTAATTTTCAAGCTTTGCCAACGTTGCAAGCTCTGGTATAACCCGGTTTGTTCCCCAAATTAGGAATCAAGTTAATTGATGCGTAGTTTATCATTGGTAAAGAGTTAAAGAAATTGTATTCTGCTTCTCACATTTTTTGTTCCATTCGTTGTGTCTGCTGCGCTAATGAAGGAATGGCCCGAACAGACTTACCCACCTTGGGCAAATGGTCCTGGTTATGTGGTATCGAATGACATAGCAAAGGAAGTTTCCCAACGACATAAAAACGGCAGATTAAAGGTAAGAAACAATCTACATTTTGCAACCAGTGTTATCACTCTAGCTTCTCCATCAAAATTTTATTTGGATTTGGAATGGTTTCTGTATCTGAAAGAGAACGATGCTTTGTTATGATCAGATGTTCAAGCTGGAAGATGTGGCGATGGGAATCTGGATTGCGGATATGAAAAAGGAAGGTCTGAATGTACGGTATGAGAAGGAAGAGAAGGTCTACAACGAAGGGTGCAAGGACGGGTATGTCATTGCACATTACCAAGGTCCCAGGGAGATGCTTTGTCTCTGGCAGAAAATTCAAGAAGGGCAAGTTGCCAAATGCTGTGGTGGTGATGGGTAGACACAATTAGATCATTCGTTCCATTTCGGAACCTTTTAGTTAAGAGTTTCACGATCAATCTCCGAAGCTGAAGAGAGAAATCTTGGTAGCCCGATCATTCTGTCGAGAGCAGATGACCGAGATTGACCAAAGCCGAGACCCTACCAAGGCACTAACTAAAAGAGGAGATATTCATCTTAGTAATGAGCTTACTATTACTGTGGGGGTGTGATATCCACACACACTATTTTACTTCTCTCACACCTTTTGAATTTTCAGCCGTCGGATCGGATGAATTGAAGAATATCGACGGACATAAATTATCAAAGGGTGTGTGAGAAGTAAAATGAGGTGTGTGGATAGCACACCCCTTCCTGTATATTTTTGGTGTGCCATAGGATATAGTATGACAGAGGAGAGGTGGAGAGATCTGTTGATGTATAGAATCAGGGCAGAGTAGCATTAGCGTTATTTTCGCACTCTTGCCTCTGTCCCTTTGCATCCGATACTTTTTTTTCACAGTAATTCAATGGAAAATACAGAAAAATAGAGAAGTAGCGTTCAACGAAAACAATCTAACCCAGTCTTATATTGCAAAAGAACGATTCCATTCTATCGTTATCAACAAGAGTTTTACTCAGAAGCAGATACAAATCTATCGTGGCAAGAAACCATGCCGAGAAATTGCAATTTCGAAAGCCTGAATCCTTTCCCCGGTAGCAAAACCATTGCGATCATACGATGATATTTCGTGTATGTTGAGATTGTTGCAGGCCTTGACGAGCTCCTCGCCCAGGCGTTTAGCAGCTTCCTATAAGATGTAATAACAGAAAGTAGTTTAGAGAGCTTGCGACACGCAATGCTTGTCTAAATTGACAGTGGCTGAGATCTCTCCTGCAAAAGCTTGGATTACTTACGCTGGTACTACAATCGGGATTCCGACGAATAGATTTCTGCAGGGTGCTTCCGTAAAACAAACAGTTGTTGTTTTGGTCATCTACCAGCATTGCATACAACTGTTTATCTGAACAGAACACCGAAAGCCTCGGTCTCATAGACGTGCCATTGTACTGATTAAGAAGTGAAAACAAAAAAATCATACTTCTCACGAAACAAGCGGATCAAAGTGTTCGAAATCAAACCAAGCAAAACACACATATTTCATCAAATGCAGGGAAGACGACAATGACATACCTTCTTCTGCATTCTTCTGTTTCGAGTTTTCGCACTATCCGTCCTGGCATTCCCCCTCGCTCTCATAACTAACGGCCTCGCCGAGAAACCTACATGAAACCCAAGATTAGAGAGTACACCCATAACACAAAGTTGCACGCACTAGTAGTGTGAGTTGGGATCATTCACTTGTTCTTCTCGTCTGCTGCATGGGTTGAATTTGAAAGTTGGAAGTTGCCGAACGGAGACCCAAAAATGCAGAAGTCGAGAATTTGAGAGCAGCAGCATTCGCAAGGGCCATATCACTTTACGTTCGAAAGAAGGTCGTTGAGGAATTTCATCAAACACCTTACGTGCGGTCTTTTCAGGAAGTTTAATCGGAATATTTTAGAAGTTTCGTAGCGGGCGTATTCTGGCGAAGAGGTGCAGATTCCGGTTTGGCGGCTCTCTGGAATCTGCTGAGTGTGGATTACTCGAGAAATCCAGAGGGCTCAGGAATTAAAAAGAAAATAAATAAAAGTCCAGCTTGATTGTAGCAGAAATGCTGACTGGTAGACGATGTCGTATTAACTACGACGGTGCGTGTCAAATTTGGCTTTTTCTTCTGGGAATTCTGGTCAAAATTTGAGTATACAGGCGACTTTTATTTATTTTTTTTCAAAGCGAAAATAAAGATTATGGAGATGAGTCTCTAAGACAAGAAGGAAATTTAATTCATTAAAATTATTCTTTGCTTTTAACTTCTTTTTATTAATACTAATATTTGCCTACACACTTTGTGTGTATGAACACATTTTTTGAGAAAATGAGAGAGAGGGAGAGAGAGAGAAAGTGGGGAAGTGAGAGATTTTTATTTTTAGTTTTTTTTTAATTTTAAATATTAGAGATATTTTAACATCACATGTATGTTAGATTTCAATAAAAAAACAGTAAAATTTGGACTTGTGAAATTACATTATTGCCTATCATTTTTTGTGTGTGATAAAAGACTAAGTTATCTTTTTATCCTCTTTTGATTGACAAATAGGGTTTCATTAATTAATAGAGATTAAGAGATGAAGGTTCAAAAGCATTATAAAAATTTAGGCGAGAAAAAGTTTTGAACCCAAGATGCATGATAAAAAGTTAATATCTTATCTATTAGAATATTAGACGATCACAATTTGCTTTGTGACATTTATTATTAAAAAATTGAACTGAGTTGCCCTATACAATATGTATTCTTATCTTTGCATGGAGATACCATTAATAAAAGATTCTAAGGGCATCCTTTGCCCTAAAAATTAAAATATCCCCGAGGATCCTCATCAGATCTTTTAATCATATCTGTATATTGTATATCGTAAGGTAAAAACTTATCGTAAATTTTTATATTTAAAATTGAATATAAACCGTACTTGATAAAATTAACTACATAATATATAATGAACAAATATAATTGAATGATTTTTGAGATCCTCACAAAAGGATCCGACGAGAATGCTCACTCCTAAAATACCCTCCCAAACTGAAAAAAAGACCTTTTGAAGATAAAGGTAAACCTGAATTTGTCCTGTATGAATATTGGCAATATTCCCTTTTTTTTTTTTTTATGTATAACAAAAAAATTGTTTGAATAAAAATAACACAAAAAATGCTTAATTTTACAGCACTCGCCACGTGTCGTGCGGCGCTACCTAGTTCCTCTTCACTCTATAACGTTGATAATTATCATTTTTCTCCAGAAGTTCCAGATCCTTCTACGCCCTTCTTTCCTCTTTATGTGGTCACTCTCCCCTCTTAAATCCTCTTCCTCCAAATCCCCAAACCCTCATCCTGCAATTTTCCCAAACCCTTCTGATTCTTCGTCTTCCCAAACCCCTCTCAAAGTTTCTTTCTTTTTTCGTTCTCAATCGGGAAAAAACCCAGAAAATTTCATGGATTCCGAAGCTGAGTTCTCTTCCTTTTTCGACTGGTTCACGAGGAGGGGTCGAGACCGAGAGCTCTCTGTGCTCATGCCCTTAATATTAGGTGCAGCCGCCGCCGCCGCCTCCGCCGCGACACCCGACACGGAAGACCCAGATGGAGGAAACCCTGAAAGACGAACCCCGCGGGAGCGAATAGTCCTCATCGACCCTTTCAGCCAACGCGTGGCGGTGATCGAAGGCGGTTCGGACCTGGACTCGCTGCTCCAGGGGCTGGGTGGGAAGGACGGTCAGCCGCCGGCGTCGAAGGCGTCGATCGATGCCATGCCAAGTGTGAAGATTGTCGAGGCGGATGGTGGGTCCGAGTGCGCGATTTGCTTGGAGCAGTTTGAGGTGGACGGCGTGGCGAAGGAGATGCCTTGCAAGCACAGGTTTCATGGTGTTTGTATAGAGAAGTGGTTGACGCTTCATGGGTCGTGCCCGGTTTGCAGGTTTACGATGCCGGTTGAGGAGGAGGAGGTGGTAAAGAAGAGCGAAGAAACGGGCGGAGAGGGAAGGAGGGTTGACGGAGAGATTAGGGTCAGGGTGTTTGTTCACAATCGCAGGAGAGCAAGTGAGGGTCCAGATCAAGCCAGTGATGAGGATACGATGCAGAGTTAGGAGAAAATTATGAATTTGTAAACGATTAGGAATATTGTACAGAATCTCAAAGCAAAATTATTTTTATTTTTATTTCAAAATAAATTTTATGTTTTGTTTGTCTTATGTTTTCTTGTTGTGAAATTTGTGAATTTGATTGATTGATTGAAATTGATTGACTGAAACAAGCGGATTTAGAAACACCTGCTTAGTGTTTGGGGATGAAATTCATACTCCTAGTGTTTAAGGGTGAATTTCATACCCGTATTTTATAGGGCATGCTTTGAGTTTGATTTGGCTGAATTACTGGTGAATTGCTGAGAGTGATTAGAGAAGGCTAAGACTATCTTCAAAGAAGATGTTAAATCTTTAAGCGGAATGTCATGTAATTAAATTTGAAGATAGAAGCAAGTTATAACTGATATGTCAATCTTATATGTTTTGACATATAAGTTTTCATATATGAAATTGAAGCAAGTAATAACTCATATGTCAATTTTATATGTTTTGACATATAAGTTTTCATATATGAAATTGAGATATAAGAAAATGTGATGTTAATTAATTTTTAATTATTTTATTGTATGAATCTCATCAATGTACTAATTATAGATTTAAAATTTTTATTTTAATTAATTTCTTTTAAAATGAATCCTACAAGTATTATTTATAATAAAAAAAAAACATATCGATTAAAAAAAAATCTAGTATTATCATATCAATCATCAAATTAATGTTTGACATTTATCTTTTAATATTTGTTTTGAAGATGCTCTAAAATATTGAGAATCGCACTCTAGTCTAATGGAGGGATGAAACGTTTATGTGAATTTTTTTGGTCCTTGAAAGAGAGGATTACCATGACAAATCTAACTAGTTTCTTTTTGAAAAAAAAAAAAAATATATATATATATATAAGCAGATTAAGATAACTACAAATTTAATTAAGCATTATAACGGCTTGGAGATTCTCGATATCTTCCAAGCATTAGCAAAGCGGTCATGATAATCTGGTCAACCATTGATCCCATGGTGGTGCAGCCATCATGGTAGTGAATCCTCACGTTCTTCTTGCACTTGCCTCGGCTCTTTTTCATTATATACTGACTTCAAACTATCTTTGGAGACCTCTTGCCCTTGAGATATTGACTTCGAGCTATCGTTGTAAACCTCAGTCTGAGTTCAAAATACCACGAACTAGCTATGATTTGGCTTATCGTTTAATTCGAGGGTTAAAAATATGCTACCACCTCATGGTATATAAAACTGCATTAGATTGTCACCCATTGGTGATGGGACACCTCCTACATTAAAAAAATACACGAAGTCACTGTAGAAAATCATAGCAATAATCTTTAAACTTTTAATTTTATTGGAATAATTATTGATCGCTTAACTCATTAAAACATGTAGTTATGGTCTTTTTTGACAATTCCATTAGAATTTCTATCAAAATGAGTCACGTGTCATGCACATGAAGTTGAATCAAAAGGCAAAATTAGATAACCAAATGAGAAAATTGTAACAATATTTTTTCAATTTTAATCCAATTGGATAAATGGTTCCTCAACTTTAACTCATTAATGGTTTTTCAACTTTAACCCTATTATAGCAATATTCCCTCAACTTTAACCCAATCATAGCAATGATTCTTTTAACATGACTCATTTTAACTGGAGTTTTGACAGAGTTGACGAAAACAATTATAGCTGCACGTTTTGATGAGTTAAGAGACCAATGGCTATGGATTCTTAGTTGAGGGATCAATATTTTTTCTTGAACAAACGATATCATCTATATTAAGGAGGTGGGAGAGTGGGCTAACTAAGCCTCACAATGAGCTAGCAATAATGTGATTCAAATTCATCTTTGGTGGAATCAAACCTAAGATTGCTCACTCACAAGTGAAGATGAATACAACTAGACCGTAATACTAAGTTGTAATTGAGGGACCATTTAAAGTTGAGGGATCCCCAAAAAAAATATCCAAACGAAGACCAAGTTTGGTCTTCCATTAATGCACAAGTCTTCATCAAATTGTGGAAGGTAAGTTTACTGCACCTGCACGCAAATTCTTCAACTTTAACCACATTTCTATACCACCTTAGGTGGCATCTGATGTGGATAGCCACATCATTTGAAAAATTTGCAAAACCCAAGGAAATGAAAGAGAAAAACTCCTCGTATACCACAATTATCATTTAATTAACTAGTTTTTCTTAATTATTAATTTACTAAATAATGAACTAAATTTAAAAATATGATTAATTTAAATGATGTGGCTGTCCACATCAAATGCCTAAGGTGGTATGAAAATATGGTACAAAAACATGGTATGAATAACATTATTATTCGCTGCATCGACACAAAACCTCTTGTCAAGTTGGTTTGCACTCAAGTGTGGTGGATGTAGGCCGCTCCATTAATTTAGCTTGCCTTGCTACTGAAATTGCTTTTTCTTAGGAATGGAGACGGGTGACCCGTCGTTGTTTTGTCAAAGCATCAAGATTCGACTTTCGAGTGTCACATAGAGTAACCGTTCGGCCTAGCTACGGACCAGTCACCGTTATAAGTAAAAGTTAACTATACTGCATTCATTTGACATGATTATTATATGATTATACGGCTAATACAAAGCTCTTGAGGATCAAAGTAAGATCGATCGTCACTAAGGTTCAAGCATTTTCTCTCTCTTGAAGAATCTTGATCCCTTGGTATCTTCCAAGCATTAACAATGTAGCCATTGGATTTGTGCCTGGAGATTCCAGGAAAGTTGACCCGTCAATTACTCTCAATCCCTCAACACCGAAAACCTTGTAATTTTTGTCAACCACCGATCCCATGGTGCAACCTCCATGATAGTGGTAAAAGGTCCTCACATTGTTCTTGCAAAGTTTTCTCAGCTCATCGTCTGTGGACATGGACTCGTTTTTGCGTTTGCCTTCGATCCCAAGGAAGTAAGCAATCGATTTAGACCTTACAATTTGCTCAAGCAACCTACCCAGCTTCACGCATTCTGCCATATCCTTCTTCTTTGCCAGATAGTTGAATGTGACTGAAGGGTTTTTTCGAGGGTCGGTGCTATCCAGCTCAAGTTCTCCTTCTGATTCTAGGATTGCAAGTTTGCCAACGATCGGCATTATTGTTGCGTTGAAGCTGATAGGTAAAATCAATGCCTGAATTACGAGTTTGAAGTTGTCTGCAATGATGGTAACTTTGGGAGAATCTGGTGGGAAATTTTTGGGCTTCGCGTCAGCTATCTCAGCTAGGAGTGCAATGCAAGGATTGTCTGTCATTCCTTTTCCAACGCTCTTTAAGTTTACTGCAACTGGAATGTTGAACTTGTTTAGGTGTTTCTGAGGGCCAATGCCACTTAACAACAAAATTTGAGGGCTGCCTAAAGCCCCTGCTGCTAGTATCACATCGCCTGTTGAACTTCTTGAGTTGTTCTGCATGTTGAGGTAAGCTTCATGGGTTTGCGAAGAACTCCCGTCGCTTTTGATGAATCTTATGCCTCTAACTATTGTCTCATTTCTGCTACCTGCAAAGGCCATTTAGGAATTTAGCCATAATCAATAGGGGTTAATTTTCCGACTTGGGATTCACTCTCAAAAGGTTCTTGCTTACCTTTTTCATGAAAGATGATGCTTATCACAGTTGCATTCAAAAGAAGCGTGATGTTGTTTGGATTCCTTGCCGTGAGAAGATCAGCTGAGGTGTGTCTTCTTCCCTGGTCATCATACGTAGTCGCGCCAATCTTTGTTCCCTCGATGTGATCCAAACTAAAACCATTGTAAGGAAAAATCCCTGCCTCAAGAAAGCTAAGCTCAGCAACATATTGCCATGGGGTCAGTTTAGGTTTAAAGGCATTTCTAGACTCCACCCATTTATAAGCATCCGACACCATCTCCTTATTCCACCCAACCCTTTTGACATAATCCTCACTTGCTCTGCTGAAAAACCCACCGTTGATAGCCGATCCTCCTCCTAGAACTCTTCCTCGGAGATTGGAAACCCCGTCCTTAGAGACGAAGCTTTGTGCAACTGATGTGTACTCGTCAGTTTGGACCAATGAGAGTCCATAGTTCTTATTTTCCATAATCAAGGGATTTTCATACGGTGAGCCACCTCGTTCCACCAACAGCACCGAGAACTTCTCAGACAGGGTTGCCGCTAGGGGACAGCCGGCGGTGCCTCCTCCAACAATAATGTAATCAAATGACTTGCCCGAGACTTGATTGACATTTGAAGTAGTCTTACGAGGGAGTGTTTGTCCTGCAATTAGGAAAGAAACCAGAATAGATCATCAATTCTTCACATTCAAAGCTACTTACACAATGACATTTTATAGGCCGTTTGATAATGCCATTTCGTTTTCAGTTTTTACTTATTTTGACAGCTAAAAACTGAATTAGTTATGCAAGTAGCCCTTTCCCACAATGGTGGAAAGGAGTTAAGCCCTCATGACGGTGTGGGTTGGAATCCCGTCTGTGAGTAATCTAACATCTAATCAAACAAAATCTATCACTTGGGAAAAAAAAATTTTAATTAGTTATCAAACGGGATTAAAAATTAATTAAACAGGAAGATAATTAGAGGACATAGCATACCTTGAATCCATGAAGAACACAGGGCCAGATGAACAAACAGGAGGAACAGATACAATGAAAACCCCATTGCCATGAATGCTCTCTCTCTAAAGTTTATCTTCTACTAACATATTTCCTATATTTATAGGCAAAGTCAATGATCTGTTACCACCTAGTTGCTATTAAATTAATTAAACTAATACACCATTTCTCCCATTTTTATGCATTAACAATTCAGTCTCCGTTGGCTGTTACAGGCTTTTGCTTACTAGTGGAGATAGGCCGACCCGTCTTTTCTGTTTTTCCAAGGCATCAGGATTCGAGTGTCACATGGAGCAACCGTTCGGCCTAGCTACCGGACCGGTCGGCGTTATAATAAGTAAAATTTAGCTATACTGCTTTCATTTGACCTGATTATTATTTGATTATATGGCTAATACAAGCTCTTGAGGCTCAATATAAGATCGATCATCGCTAGGGTTTAAGCATTTTCTCTCTCTCTTGAAGAATCTTGATCCCTTGGTATCGTCCAAGCATTAACAATGTGGCCATTGGATTTGTGCCTGGAGATTCCAGGAAAGTTGACCCGTCAATTACTCTCAATCCCTCAACACCGAAAACCCTGTAATTTTTGTCAACCACCGATCCCATGGTGCAACCTCCATGATAGTGGTAGAAGGTCTTCACATTGTTCTTGCAAAGGTTTCTTAGCTCATCGTCAGTAGACATAGACTCGTTTCTTCGTTTGCCTTCGACCTCAAGAAAGTAAGCAATCGATTTAGACCTTACAATTTGCTCAAGCAACCTACCCAGCTTCACGCACTCTGCCATATCTTTCTCCGTTGCCAGATAGTTGAATGTGACTGAAGGGTTTTTGCGAGGGTCGGTGCTGTTCAGCTCAAGTTGTCCTTCTGATTCTGGGAAGGCAAGTTTGCCAGAGATTAGCATTATTGTTGCGTTGAAGTTAATTGGTAAAATCATTGACCCAACTATGAGTTTGAAGTCGTCTGCAATGGCGATAACTTTGGGAGAATCTGGTGGGAAATTTTTAGGCTTTGAGTCAGCTATGTCAGGTACAAATGCAATGGCAGGATTGTCTTGCATTCCTTTTCCAACGCTTTTTAAGTTTACTGCAACTGGAATGTCGAACTTGTTTAGGTGTTTCTGAGGGCCAATACCACTTAACAACAAAATTTGAGGGCTGCCTAAAGCCCCTGCTGCTAGTATCACATCGCCTGTTGGACTCAAGTTCTTCTGGGTGTTGAGGTAGGCTTCATGGGTTTGCAAAGAACTCCCGTCGCTCTTGATGAATCTTATGCCTCGAACAATTGTCTCATTTCTTTTACCTGCAAAAGCCATTTAGGAATTTAGCCACAATCAAGAGTTAATTTTCCGACGTAGGGTTCACACTCTCAAAAGTTTCATGCTTACCTTTTTTATGGAAGATTATGCTTGTCACAGTTGCATTCAAAAGAAGTGTGATGTTGTTCGGATTCCCTGCCATAAGAAGATCAGCTGAGGTATGTCTTCGTCCTTGTTCATCATAAATAGTCGCGCCAATCTTTGTTCCCTCAATATGATCCAAACTAAAACCATTGTAAGGAAAAATCCCTGCCTCAAGAAGGCTAAGCTCAGCAACGTAGTCCCATGAGGTCAGTTTTGGTTTAAAAGCATTTCTAGACTCCACCCACTTATAAGCATCCGATACCATCTCCTTATTCCACCCAACCCTTTTAACATAATCTTCACTTGCTCTGCTGAAAAATCCGCCGTTGATAGCCGATCCTCCTCCTAGAACTCTTCCTCGGAGATTGGAAACCCCGTCCTTAGAGACGAAGCTTTGTGCAACTGATGTGTGCTCGTCAGTTTGGACCAATGAGAGCCCGAAGTTCTTGTTTTCCATGATCAAGGGATTTTCATACGGCGAGTCACCTCGCTCAACCAAGAGCACTGAGAACTTCTCAGACAGGGTTGCGGCTAGGGGACAGCCAGCGGTGCCACCTCCAACAATAATGTAATCGAAGGACTTGCCCAAGACTTGATTGACATCTGAAGTAGTCTTACGAGGGAGTGTTTGTCCTGCAATTAGGAAAGTAACCAGAATAGATCCTAAATTCTCAACATTTATGACACGTTTACGTACCCGTAATCGAAATCAATTTACGGAATTGGATTCTGATTACGGGATACACTTTTGTTTACGTAATCTTGGGGAATCAAAATACATTTGGGGTCCACACACATTAAGGAATGCAACTCCTAATTTTGAAGGAATTGGACTCCCTACATGAGGGAGGTATTTCAATTCCTTGACACTTGAGGAATTTGGAATGGATTTCTTCTACCAATTATGCCCTCACTTGTTTCTAATTATTCCAACATTGCCCTTCATTTGACACTTATTATGACATCTTTTAATAAATAAATAAAACCTATTTATATATTTTTACATAGGTGAATTTTATTATATAAATTTAATTAAGAATTTAATTTAATTAATTAGTATGAAAATAATTTATTTATGTAAGGGCAATATAGTAATCAACCTAGTTTTCATTCCAATTGAAGTGAATTAGTAAACAACTTATATGAACTCAACATCATTCCTACTCCGATTCCAGACAGTTTTAGCAAACAACTTCAATAGGAATCTGCTTCCTCAATTCAATTCCTCTCAATTTGATTACGAATTAGTAAACACGCCCTTAAAGCTACAAAATGGCATTTTATACGCAGTTTGGTAACCATTTCATTTTTCAATTTTCACTAATCTTTAAAACTAAAAACTAAATTAGTTATGCAAGTGACCATTTACCACAATGGTGGAAATGAGTTGAGCTCTCATAACGACATGCGTTTGAACCCCGTCTGTGGCTAATCTAACATCTAATCTAACAAAATTCATCGCTTCACAAAAAAATAGATTTAAAATTAATTAAACAGGAACGTAATTCGAGGACATAGCAATGAATAGTGTTTGTCCTGCAATTAGGAAAGTATCCTGAATAGATCCTAAATTCTCAACATTTAAAGCTACAAAATGGCATTTTATAGGCTGTTTGGTAACCATTTCATTTTTCAATTTTCACTGATCTTGAAAACTGAAAACTGAATTAGTTATGCAAGTGACTCTTTACCACAATGGTGGAAAGGAGTTGAGCCCTCATAACGGCATGGGTTCGAATTCCATCTGTGGCTAATCTAATATCTAATCAAACAAAAACCATCACTTGGAAAAAAATAAATAAAAAAATAAAGTAGTTATTGAACGGGATTTAAAATTATTTAAACAGGAATGTAATTAGAGGACATAGCAATGAATAGTGTTTGTCCTGCAATTAGGAAAGTAACCAGAATAGATCCTAAATTCTGAACATTTAAAGCTACAAAATGGCATTTTATAGGTTGTTTGGTAACCATTTCATTTTTCAATTTTCACTAATCTTGAAAACTGAAAACTGAATTAGTTATGCAAGTGACCATTTACCACAATGGTGGAAAGGAGTTGAGCCCTCATAACGGCATGGGTTCCAATTCCGTCTGTAATTAATCTAATATCTAATCAAACAAAATCCATCACTTGAAAAATAAAAAATAAAAAAATAAAGTCGTTATCGAACAGGATTTAAAATTAATTAAACAGGAAGGTAATTAGAGGACATAGCATTACCTTGAATCCATGAAGAACACAGGGCCAGATGAACAAACAGGAGGAACAGATACAATGGAAACCCCATTGCCATGAATGCTTTCTCTCTCTCTCAAGCTTATCTTCTACTAACATATTTTCTGTATTAATAGGCAAAGTCAATGATCTGTTACCAGCTAATTGCTATTAAATAAATTAAACTAATACACCAGATCACCCATTTTTATGCATTAACAATTCAGTCTCCGTTGGCTGCACCCACACAAAGTCTGCAGTTCACACGATTATTTGTTCCATATTTTATTCCTAATTCGTGTTCGTTTGTTTTTGCTCGGTGTTTTGGTATTTGCTTTGCGGTTGGTTGGTTTGTTTGGTTTATCAGAGTCCACTGATAACAAGATGCGTTTGTACAAGAAAATCTTAATTTGACATGATTAGTATGGCTAAAAGTACAAGTTGATGAAGTTCGATCGAGGATCGATCATCTTTCGGGTTTAAGCATTTTCTCTTTCTTGAAGAACCTTCATCCCTTGGTATCTTCCAAGCATTAACAAAGTGGCCATTGGATTTGTGCCTGGTGATTCAAAAAATGTTGATCCATCAACTACTCTCAGTCCCTTAACTCCGTAAACCCTGTAATCTTTGTCAACCACTGATCCCATGGTGCAACCTCCGTGGTAGTGATAGAATGTCCTCACATTCTTCGTGCACAGTTTTCTCAACTAATCTTCCGTAGACATCAACTCATCTTTTGGCTTACGTTCGATCCCCAGGAAGAATGCAATCGATTCAGACCTTACCACTCGCTCAAGCAACTGAGCCAGCTTCACACATTGTGCTAAATCTTTCTCCTTTGCTAGGTAGTTGAATGTGACTGAAGGGTTTTCTCTGGGGTCAGTGCTGTTCAGCTCAAGCTTTCCTTCTGATTCTGGAAAGGCGAGTTTCGCAGCTATTGGCATTATTGTTGCATTGGAGCCGACAGGTAAAATTCCTGCTTCAATTATAATCTTGAAGTCATCTGCTATACCGGCAACTTTTGGAGGTTCTGGTGGGAAATTTTTCGGGATAGGGTCAGCTAAGAGTGCAATGCCAGGATTGTCTTTCATTCCTTTTCCGACAGCCTCTAGGTCGAGAACTAGTTGGATGTTGAAGTTGCTTAGGTGTTGATGAGGGCCAATACCGCTTAACAACAGAATCTGGGGGCTGCCTAAAGCCCCTGCTGCTAGTATCACATCACCCCCTGAGCATGAATTCTCTGGCTGGTTGAGGTGAGCTTCATAAATTTCGCTTGAGTTTCCGTTGCTCTTGATGAATCTTATGCCTCTAGCTATTGTCTCATTTCTGTCACCTGCAAAATCATTTGGAAATTCAGCTGAAAATAGGGCTATCGGTTAAGGGCAGTGATTTTTGTGCTCCTCCTTTCTCTTTCTGCACTGCTCCCCTTGTTTCCATCGGTTACTTATCTTTTGACGTATCCAATCTAAAAAAATGAGGGGACTACAAGCTAGTGGGGTGCGGAAGTTACTCCCTGTAAAGGAATACTACACGTTTAAGGCTTACCTCTTTCATGAAAGATGACATTAGTAACAGTTGCATTCAGAAGAACTGTGATATGGTTTGGATTTCCTGCCTCAAGAAGATCAGCGGAGGTGTGTCTTCGTCCCTGTTCATCAAACACGCTCGCACCGATCTTTGTTCCCTCAATGTGATCCAAACTAAAACCATTGTAAGGGAAAACCCCTGCCTCAAGAAAGCTAAACTCAGCAGCATACTGCCATGGGGTCAGTTCGGGTTTAGAAACAATTCTAGATTCGACCCATTGATAAGCATTTGTTACCGTCTCCTTATCCCACCCAACCTTTTTGACAAAATCCTCACTTGCTCTGCTGTAAAACCCACCATTTATAGCAGATCCTCCTCCTAGAACTCTGCCTCTGAGATTGCTCACACCGTCGTTGGACACAAAGCTTTGTGCAACTGATGTATATTGATCAGTTCGGAGCAATGAGAACCCATAGTACTTTGTATCCAGCACCAAGGGATTTCCATATGGAGAGCCGCCTCGTTCCACCAAGAGCACTGAGAATTTCTCAGACAGGGTTGCAGCTAGGGGACAGCCGGCAGTGCCTCCTCCAATGACAATGTAATCGAAGGACTTGCCCGAAGCTTCATTGACATCTGAAGTCATACGGGGGAGTGTTTGCCCTACAATTTCGAAAACCGACATCAATGCAGAAAATTCAAGCTTCTAAAATGAGATGTTACTAAAAGTAAATAGGGTTAGTGACAAACCTTGAATCCATGAAGAACACAAAGCCAAGCTTACAAATAGGAGGAATTGATAGAATAAAACGCTCATTGCTTTGAATAGTTAGTGTGTAGCATTAGAAGCTCCAAGATTGGTGCTTTCATATAACAGGATTAGGAAGATGAAGGTACGAATTATTTATTGGAGTTTAACTACCATATGTTGCTCAACTGAACGGCTAGATTTAAACGTTTCAGATGAAATTTTCATATCTGACGGTCTGAAGGATCCCGCCGGGCAATGAATTCCATACATTGATGCATTCTCGAGTTTTCGTAGTTTATTGTCATGTGGTGGGACATATAATTGAGTGAGTTCGTAGGCATTGATTAGCTAACATGCGCATGCTTAGTTCATAATTTTCTTTTCTATGATGATTTCTCACCCTCCTCCTCCTCTGCTTGTCCCTCGACAAACATCGAAAAGAAATATTTCTAGTGATTGACATGATTAACATCAAGTCATGCGACTTGCACCTACCACAAGTAGGGAATCATATACATAGCATTCTGTACTTTCTTTAGGCGAATTAGCTTAATCAGATCTCAGAAGCATTAAGCAATAAGCAGTTTCCATCTGGCATTCAAACGCGCACGTTTGTGACACACGTGCGAGAGTACGATAGCGAGAACGAGAAAGAGATGTATCCCCACAATATATAATACCTTCTTTTGACATGAATATACTTTCAAAAGTGCCATACATATATAACAGTGTACATACATGTATATAAACAAAAGATTAGGACTGGAGGGAATTGAGTTTGCTCCATAAACTATAGATCACTAAACCAGATGGCTCCAAGGCATTTGAAGAATCAGATTCCCTTGCAGTTCAAGTCTATTGCTTTCGGTCCCGAATCAATGTTGTCACTCTGATATTTGCTATTCAGATCAATTGTAGCCAACAATCCAGACTTTCTCAGACTGTTTCCACCTTTATCTCTTTGTGTTTGTGTCCTTTTAGCAACTGGTTGCTCCACAGATACACCATCAGAAATCGGACTGCTGCTTCTCTTCCTCCCAAAAACATGATTATTTGCAACATTATTCCACGCCTTATTGTCCGGGTGAATGTCCATTAATGGTAGTTCAACACAGGTTGCATTAGAATTTTCAGGGAGCTTCTCGTCCTCCCTTCCTGAACTTTCGGAAGATGTCAAGGAACTCTCCATGGAGCCTCTCATTTGCTTCCGCTCCATGTCTTTTAGGGTTGGAGTTCCTGTTTCCGTTAACTCTGAGAACGAAGAACTCGGACATCCATTGTTAACCATTGAAACTAGCTGAGTGAGTTCAGCCTTTGCAAGTTCTACTCCCACTGAAGAGGAAGTATACCCTGAAAGAGTTTCTTGTGCTTTCTTCAACACCGATTGTAAATACTTCCCTTGAGCTTCAATTCTCAGCTGAAGATGTCTCTGTACCTGACAACAAAAACCGGGTTTATTGGCAGGTCATGGTACTCTTTCAATCTTTTTATGAATCGAGAATGGTAAAGATGGTATTCGTTTATCGTTTTTACCTCAATTTGTTCATGAAGCTGCCTCTGCACTTCCATTTGCAACTGGAGAGACCGAGCTATGTGCAAGCTTCTGATATAAACATAACAACACTTAATTAATAGGGAGCTCTTGTGGTGTCATTTTTCCATCTAAATTAATCGAAGAGATTGGGATCTATTTCTAACTATATTACTCATTAATCTGACTGTGATCTTCATCGCTGATATCAGCGCCGAAATGACCATCACTGCTCTGAAGCTCCTTGTAATCTGCATCAAAGGAGAGGACAAATATTAAGAATCCACAAGGATTAAAGAATGAGCACCAAATGATGATCCTCTATAGTTTTCGGAATCTAATGTAATGGACTCACCTTCTTGCCTGATGTCCTCGCGGTTTTCGGACTGTTGGCTTTTCCCTAGCCTGTATTTCTGCACAAGAACACAAAAGGAGTTTTAGAATTATGCTTTCTCGATTATGATCTGGACAAAGATTTAGATGTGACAAAACTCGAGAGAGAAAATGCCTGCAAGTGGCTCTTTAGGTGGTACAAAGTGAGTCCATGAATTCCCATCATCCTCATCAAACTCTTTGGTGTGGCCTCTGCCATACACACACACACACACACACACACACATTAGAACTTTGTATTGTATTGTATAAGATACTAATAAAATAGGGATTAGGCGAGGTCAGCTCCTAAAGAAGAGGGGACACGACCTAAACTTCTAGGAGCACCCCCCCCCCCCCCCCGCCCTTCCTCCTACATCATCAAGGTCATATACTCACTGTCTGCCCCTCCGAGCTGATTGACAGCCTCGACGAATCGCTGATGAAGCTCTGGAGTCCACTTTAGCCGCGGCTTCGCGTCGGTGGACAAAACCAAATTCATGTTCTGATTTTGCATATTCTGTAGAACCATTTTTGTGGTGGTGGTGGATGAGAGATCGAGACAGCAGACTGCAGGAACATAAATATATAGTGGTGGACTGCTTTGTATGATCCAAGCTATGAGGGACGGAGGTTGGTCTTTATAATTTGGGTGGGGAGTAGTTGTGGGGGTGTCCTATATTCTCACTCCATATCTGGAAACATAAGTGGGGTTATGTTGGAGGCAGAGAATTTATGCCATGAGCTGTAGTTCCTCCTTTCCTCCCTCTCATTTCATACCAACTTTTTTAGAAAAATAATTTTATAAAATTATATATTTTTCTTGCTTCTTTGACTTGAAAGAGGTAGAGAGAATCTCTGATGCAGCAAAAACACAGAGAGTTCAATTTGTGAGTCTTAAAAAGGAGAGAAAGGAGGTAAAGTGTAGGGTTTGTTTCTCTCTCTCTCTCTCTCTAGTTTCTCTCTCTAGATTCTCTCTCTGTGCATGATTCCCTGATGAATAAGGAACCCCACCATGATGAATAATGGTGTGAGAAGCAATGCAGTGCAGCTAAATAATAATAAATAATAATAATTGAGATATTTTTTCTTTTCTTTTGGTGATTGAAAGGGAAATGGGGATTTCTTTTCTTTTTTAATATTTATTTCCCATTTCTTTTAGTTTTTTATTTTTTGGGTATTTCTTTTTGTGAGGAAGGAGGTGGTGTGTGATTGGCAGACTCCTTTTGTTCCTTGTAAGGATGGAGGAATCAAAGAATCTAACGTTGGATTTTGGGACCCCAAACCCTAAAGTATTTCTTCTCCTAAAGAAGTATTCCCACATAAAGTGAATCAATTCACACCAATTTTATTGAAATAAGAGACATGTATGCGTAATCATCAGAACTCTGTGTATAGCTTTCCGTTCAAGGTGGTTAAGAAGGAGATAATATCTTGCTAAATTGATCGAGATATGATAATTTAGTAGTTTTTTGTATAAAATTATCCAAATCTAGGGGAGGGGAATCCAGGGTGCCAACTACAAGGGTTAATATATAGGACTAAATGCCACATGAGGTTACATCAATCAATGGTTCCTGCCTTGGATGTATCAGAGACGGGGAATCAGAATATAATTGCCTCAAATACGACGATTACGTCCAAAAATCAATGTTCCAAGAAAAAACATGAATCATAATTGCACTTGTTTTTCTCATGACGATATGTCAAATTACTTTAATGTAGGGCAGTGGAGAATTCAAACTCGGGTGCGAGAGATAAACGCTGAATTAGTATTGTCATGGTATGAAGCAACCAACTCCTCTCTCTCTCTCTCTCTCTCTCTCTCTCTCTCTCTAAACAAATGGAAATGACATAAAGGGCACTCAACAGGGTTCTCACTCTGCACAAAAGTCTCAAAAAGAAATATATTCCAAGGGGATTGTTAGCTTTAATTCTGTAATCCATATCCAAAACCAACTGAATATAAAGAAAATTTTGATCACAAAAGAGTAAAAGAAGAAAAGAGAAAAGGAGGCCACAAATCACAGTGGCCAACAACAAATCGTAAAAGTCAATCGGTATCGGATTGATCTCGGGATTTCTTGGGTTGTGGTCAAGAGTTTGATCACTGGAATCAAAATCATCATTCATCTCCAAAGACTTGCCATCCCAGTGCTTAACATTCACTTGCTCTGCCTGCTGCATACATAAACAAATGCCCCAGGATTCAAAGTTCAAGTACTAATTTAAGTACTTCTTAACACATTAATCATATCAACAAACTAGAGGTTGCTTCGTCGAGACTGTTCAAGCATTTGATCCTAAAACCGTTAGCATGGGGGAAACATTTTCACTAATCAGGTTGCTACTCTCATCATTCCTTCAGCTAAAATGGGTAATCGAAGGACAGCACCGGCGGGACCTACAGGAGGCTGGGTCTAGTATCATGGTGGTAGTGGAGGGTTCTTCCTGAGCAAGCATTGGCTTCTCTCCACTGTTGGACTAACATATCCCTAGTGGGAAGCTCATAGTTCACGTTCAAAGAAAGGAATATAATTATTGACAAGTTCTTATGGTAGTGTGGCCCGAATGTTTGAAAACCAAGAAAAGAAGCGAGAGTTATTGACGTACCTTTCTCTTTAACCAGCTGCTGTACTTGAAGCTCTTTTCGTCGCTTTAATATATTCCATAACAGGTAAAGGAGATTCTAGGATGATGCCGAATGGCCCCTGGTATTTTTCGGTCAGGAGGTGAAGGTCCAGTGAATCATAAAGTCACATAAACAAAGGTGCCTCTCAGCAATTATTATTCTTCAAGGGACCCCATTATTGGAGATCTCACAATACAAAAGCATGGAGATAGAAGATGAGAAGAATATGGCCTCAGGAATCAAGAAAAGTGAAACAAAAGGAACCTGTCAAAATCGCACCAAAAGAAAACCATAAATAATTGTTGGTAATGTTACGTCAAAATCACAATTGCTTACTGAAAATGACGTGAGCAATATGTCACCGATCAATTTCTTTCTGAAACACACAAGTCCATGGTTATGGGCTTCATCTTTGTATATAAATGACAACTTGTATACTTTGCTTGCACCTCAACTTTTCAAAGAGTTATAGTGAAAGGCAGGAGAACACCCACTCCCCAAAATCAAAGAACAGTTACATTAATATACGAGCACGTTCGCAAAGCGTCTTCATACACATTGCAACTGGCGTCCATGTCCTTTTTTTACATGGATTCAGATTCTACACGAACAAATCAACAACACAAAGCCTTATCCCACTAATGGGGTTGCCTATATGAATCCTAGAACACCACTTGCGCTCGGTTTTGTAATCGGAGAAAAACACTACACCTAAAAAATTGACTCCTTTCTTCCAGATGAAAAGGAGGGCTATATATTGTTCCATTGTGTCGGGGTTTTTTTCTCTCGGTCTAGTATTTAATGCAAGTGCGTTAACAATGTACGACAGAACCTCATTGAGATGGGAATCTACTACGATGGAGAGCCATTATGACTGACAAGAGTGTCCAACTGCATTGAATTCAACCATCTCAAATTATTAGAAAAACAGAGCGGCAAGCTCTCAATATCACTTGAGTATTAAGAGTCTAAGACTAATAAAGAATGAAACCAGTCAAATGATCAAAACCAAATATGTGTATAACTTCTAGATGGAACATGTCTGGAGAGTCAACAAGCCAATGTTCTGTTGAACTTTCCGACAATATAACTTCTCATTATAGGGTATGCTTAGTTGATCATGCAAGCTTAGGATATATCAAGAAGCAAGCATTAGGGTCTAGCAAGCTAATTAAACATGTGCTTAGGTTCATTATACATCTTAGAATGTAGCAAGCTACACATAGATATACAAAGGGTCTAGCAAGCACATGTTTAATTAGCGTATGGTGGATATATCAAGAATCAAGATGGTACATATCTCACAATTGTTTAAGTAAGTGATGTCCAATTCTAGAATATGTACGAGGCACGCCATCTTTGCAAGACCCCATAACATGACTACACAAAACACAATCATGAAGAATAATATTCCCTCAAATAATTCAGGCAAGACAGGTTAATTTCCAACGAAACATTACAACCGATACAATTATACCTCTTGGTTGGCATCAATGAATCCAAGACATAGCAGTGTGGCGCAGGTACATGGAGAGAAAAGGCCCTGGTTAATTGGATAAATATTCTCAAGAAAACAAATAGGGTAACTCTAATTTCTACTCGATTGATTGAGAAGTTGATTTAATGTTAGTAGTAGTACTACTATTACTCTCTATTGTTATTTGTATTGCTATTATTATTGTTATTAAAGTTCTTACTGTTATATTTTTGTTCTCATTGTGTGGCTATTGCTAGCAGTATTAGATACAGAATATAAGAATTATTTCCAGGAAAAGGATCTGATGTATATGGTATATCATCAACTTCTAAGTAACAATCCTTCAATATAATGTGGCTTCGGAGAAAGGTCTTCACTCATAAACAACATGTTCCACACATACACCACGCATTTCAGTGACTTGTATCTGGAAAAGTTCAAAGAACAAGTTCTAAGACCCTAATGCTTGCTAGGTTCCATAACAGGCCTAACAGCTAACGATGATTTGGAACTTGAAATTTTCTAACTTTGTAATGGTTTCCACTTTGAACCCACTCTTATTTAACTAAGTTTTAACTAATACTTCACCTACTTTACATCACAATTACTCCACCTAAGCCTTCCCAAATCTAACTCCGTTATGAAGTCTCATCTCTCAAAAGATTAGGTTGTCAAACTTCCACTGCTCTAGTTTTACCGGCTCATTTTTGGAAAATATACTCAACCAGGTTGGTGATATCATGATACCAAGTTCTCAAAAGGTGAGGGAATCTAAGACTCCTTAGATAAGGGATGTCTACACAAATCAAGAACATTCAAGAACATTCACAGAATAGCAGAATGGTTAAGAAGCTGAGCAATACTAATTACGAGGCAGAAGATAGACATGCTGAAAACAAAGCTTTCCTATTAGTGTAAGCTCTAGTTTTAGACTCAATACACCAAGACAATCAGAAAATTTGATGGATTTGAAACAAAGTTTTCTGGTCATGGTTATTGCATACTTCAAGGGTGAATCTCAAATGGGTTGCATCACTTAACATGTTAAATCGGACTAAAACTCGAACTAAGATTTCAAATATCAAGTAAAGTTGATATTGTCCGAACCAATGAACTGGGTAACGATGATGTCAACGCTGAGGCGCAAGTTAATGAAGTTTATGTTCCACAGTAATCCTGGTAATTCTTCATGGGAAAGCATAACAGGGTAGACTGATCAAATACTGAAAAATCTTTACCACGAAATGAAAGTTCCTTCCTTTAGCTAGCTAGAATCCACATTTTCCTTGATTCCCATGAACATAATTCCACTTCCACCATCCTATAAACACAAACACAATTCCCATTCCTCAAACTCGTGCATGTTTCTACCTTGGGGTGGATACCACAATTTGTGATTTGTGAGGTAAGGAAAAAGCAAGACCATCAGGATTTACTAACTTTTTTCAGCCAATGCACCTCAGAACTTCCGAAGCAGACAATATTATGGACAATTGAAAAAAAAAACCCATGATTTGTTTAGAACAGATAACTCATTAATCAAACACAGAACAGTTTCAGACAAGTAAAAAGGTAAGGAACTGATGAGGGGTTTACCTAAAAAGTTGAAGGCTTTGTGGTTGCAGAGAGATTTCAGGTAGCACCCAGTTCGGGCAATGGCAAAAAATCAGAGCCCAAGTGCGCAAATTGAAGGAAGAAAGTGCGCTGTTTTCATTGCTGTCATCGTCACCCACTTCAGTGCACTCCATCGAAACGTCATCTCGTGCGTTCATTCTTCATTCCTCGTCCGCTTCCGAACGCATCGCATTGGAGCGGAGGAAAAAAAAGGTGCTCTTAGTCTTATTCACATCTTTGTTTAATAATTTATTTCTGTTCTTTTCGTTTGATTTATTTCATTCAATCGTCAAGAATAAGCATCGGTGTATGAAAAGCCAAATAAAGTGTTCACTTTTGATCATGCGGTTTCAATTGTATCAATTTTAATTCCCTGTATTATCACAAATAATACAATTTAAGCTACGTTATAAGTGAAAAAGCATGTACCACTTGTTAAGAGTAGTGAAGGACCACCTACTCATCATGAGCATAAGGCACCAGATTAGATTCTTGCTTAGTGGTTAAGCTTTAGGCTATTATATTCAGTTACGTATTATTGATGAGTAAGTTGGTAATAATCTGTTGGCATATAAATATACTTTTGTACTCGCTTTACGCAGTAATGAGAAAATTCAGTTTTTCAATCTCTTCAATCTCTCATCTCTCTCGCTTTCTACACCAATCACATGCACAAGACTTTTTCTTTTGAATCTTGATCGCGCTGTAGTTCCTTACATACATTGTTAACTATATAATGGAAGACTATCCCTTCCCCTTTCATTATTTTTTCCAAGTTAACAAATGTGTTGAGATATATAGGATGATTGATCAACCCTACTGCATGGTGATATACACATATTCCATCAAAGTACTACTTCTCTTGTATGGTCTCAACGCTCACGTCGCATTTGAAATTTCTTGTGCATACAGTCTCAACTTTCATGTTACAATTGAAAGATAATAATCTTAGCTTAATCAATTTAGATTAGATAGATGAATATCTACAAGTTGATGTTTCGTCTCCAGTTTTCCGGTGGTTTTGCGTGTACTAATAAATTAAACTAGATTTCAAAGTCTAAAAAATCCAACCTTACTTTTAAAATTAAGCAATTGTCAAATTACCCAAATCTAAGTTTCCATGTAACTCGATGGAAAGTCAAATATATCCTACTACTTAAGCTACGTATACTTTTTTTCAAGATCCGTTTTATAATGTCATTTAGTACTATAGTCTAGTGATATTTATCTTCTCTTGTAAGTAAGAGGTATTAGGTTCGATTCTCGCCAATTACGAGTGTGAACCACATTATTGCTAGCCTAATGTGAGGCTAAGCTCATCACCTCCCCTTTAGTGTAGATAATATCGTTTGTTCAAAAAAAAAAATCCGCTTCACAATATATTTTAACGATTCGAATCATCAATTTTTTAGGTCTTCCCGCAAAAATCATGTCCACTACAAATCAACCAAATCTAAACCATATGACCATTGGATTAAATTTAGTATTTTCTTCGTAAAATCGTATACATTCATTTTCTTCACTTCAAATGACTGTCTTAATAGTTTTGGATTTGTCTAATTTTTTGCAAGATGATCTATGAATAATATACCAAAAAATAGACAATACGAATTTTTAAAGGGAATTATTATTCGCACTCCTAAAATCTCCTTTGGCACTCCAAACTTTCTATAATTAGAAAGAAAAATACATTTGTGAGGAGTGTAAAATAAGATTTTTAGAGTGTTAATAAAAATTCTCTTTTTAAAATACATTACGAATTGAGTCTTACAAAATGAGTGTCAAAATAGAATCACAAGCGTATATCCTTGAATTCTAAGCAGAAGATGAATATCATATTTAAAATTTTCCAAGCAACCAAAAAGTTCATGACTTTTGGTTTTAGACTTTAAGATGCAAGACATATTGATGTCGGCCAACGGAACAAGTTGTGGCAAGCAATTATAATTAAGGACTTGAATTTTGGAAGACTCTCTGTAAGTCTTATTCTTTCGTATGAAAAAAGAAAAGAAAAAACAAAGAGAAAAGAAAACACAACACATTGTGGTTTGTGTGATGAGCATCACAAGCACTACATCCTTTTCTAAAAGGTAGAGTTCCACTCGACTGAGAACCCTCGCCAAATCTCGAAGATCTTCAAATTACATCTGTTCATCATATATCGTACGGTTATAAATCATTATAAATTTTTTTAATTTAAAATTGAATATGAACAATACTTGATGAAAACTAGTCGCACGATATACAATAAATAGATGTGATTAGAAGATTTTCGAGATTCTCACAAAGAGAATCCACTCTCAGTCCACTCGACCTTCTCCAGTTCCGCACCTCTATACCGAACCAGCCTACTTCCTCTATCGTATATGCATTTCACTGGAGCAATATTATATTATGATATTCAATTACATCAGCTGTGTGGAATGGCAGCCACAGATATTGTATTATTGTTTTATAAACTAGACCACGCGATAAATAATTAAACGATAAATTAGCGGTACTAAAAGCTTCCGTAAGTGGAATCCCTGAAGATGAAAAGCTAACCACATACATAATATGCATATATAGAAACAAAACTTTTACCTTCTGAATTAGCTATAAAAAGCAGGATTAGTGCAGGAAATCCAGAAACGTGTACGTGCATGCATCTTAGATAATACAAACAAGACACCTTCCTTCTGACTTTGCCAACATATCTATACGTACTATTTTAACAGATTTGTCGACCTGAAAAGTTGAAATTGCAAGCATTTTCCTTATTTTGTTAAATAAAATGAATATTGGTTGAGTTGATAATGATCATTATTATTGTTTCATTAAGGTCTAGATTCGAGTTCCATTGCTGAACAATTTTTTTGGTAGGCAATTTGTAAAATCAAAAAGAAGCTATGACCCATGTTTTAAGTCCTCATACAAACTTATGATATATGCCCTTGATCTACCAAATCTATGAGAAGAGGTCCGATTTCATATTTGATGGTCGGCGTGGCGAACTAGCGCTAGGCTTCGCTTCTTCGACTCCCTCCCCAGCCGTTGCAAATCTATTTGCAGTCGTGAGACAGAAATCAAAGACAACTTGTTATAAAAGCAGCCGTGCATGTTGATAGATCTTCTATACTAGTAACAGCATAGCGGGTGAATCGCATTTTTAGGTAAAGTTTGGTTTGTTTATTAGAAGGATCGGCACGTAACTAATCATGACAAATAGATATTAAAAGACAATGTGTCACGTGATGTAATAATTAGGTATTAAAAATCAGATAATACAAATTTGCAGAGCCACGGGACGTAGATATTATGTAGTCTTGGCAGGGCAGCCACGGACGAGAGAGACAGAGAGAAGGACGGTAAAGTGCCATCAGCTTCGAACTACGGAATGAACGGCGGTGATATCAGACGCCCTTTTCATTACGCTTTCTGCAGGTGGGTCCCCAGCCCTCCATTCCTTGGTAGCTGATCGAATTCAAACCTGCTGCCGCCACGTGTTTTGTACTGCAAAGCTGCCTTTTCCCACTGCACACCCAACCCAATCTATAGTTTCCCACAGCTGGCAAACATATCGAGCGTTACTCTGCCTACCAAAAGCCACACAAGAATTTTGCTAACACAAAACAGTTGAAAATATAAAATTTAGAATTATCTACAATTTTAAAGTTGAAGAAAGCTTGGTCGTTAAAAAAATCAGCAGCAGTTCCTACTATTAGCGAATTATCGGTGAATATATGTTCAAGTTGTGATTAAAAAATCAATTACTTGAACACGTGTCCACTTTTGATTTGTTAGCAGTAGGAGCTGCTGCTGATTTTTCAGAAGCCAAGCTCTGTTCCTTTACAGTTTTCAAGTATAATTTCAATGGTTTATTCTTCTCGTATTTATAAGATTATAAATGTGCAATATTAGTAAATAAATCAAAACAATCATTCGTTTACAAAATAAGAAAATCTAAACCAAATCAAATCATATAAAAATTAAATCGTATAAAATCACTAATCACATTCTTGAAATGCTTTTCTTTTTATTTTCCAACAAAAACAATCAACTACCACATTTTTTTTCTTCTGAAATTACAACTACATGCTTTTCTTCTTTTTTATATGGTAATGCTATTTTATGTTAAATTCATATAAATTATGAAAAAATAATTCCTATTTAGGGAATATTTTTCCTACTCGGTTTAAATGCTTTTAGAAAAAATATTTATTTGATTCCAAAAGTAGTTAAAGTTCTTATGCAATAAGCTAATAAATGACTCGTTTAGATGTACTTTTAAAATGATTGAAAACGCTTTTAGATAAAATATTTTAAGTGCTTTTCCAGGATTTACTTGCATCTTTATTAATGATTGGTTCTAAAAATATATTCACCAAAAGCACTTTCAATCATTTCAAAAGCACATTCAAACAAGCTCAAAGTGATTTTCTAAGATTCACTTGCCCATTTTACCAAAAATTGATTTGAAAAATATTTTCACCAAAAACATTTTTAGTTATTTTAAAAGCACTTCCAAACGAGCTTTACTTTAGTCAACTTCTCCAAACTCAAATATGATATCCGACATATTTTTTTTTAAATGTTATCCGATTTCTTTTCAGGTGTTGGAACTACTTTATGCCACAATTTCCGAAAAAAGTATTCACAAAAGTGATTTCACATTTTCTATTTCTGGATAATATTATAATTATATACCCAGAGGTTTTTATTTCCAATATCAAGGCTATTATTTTATAAAAGTTCAAACATGTTAACTTGCACGTTTCCACTATTTTACAATTTTATGTTTCTTAGAGACTTTACAATTTAATTATTATACCTACTTTTCTTTTCCTTTTTCTGATCTTTTTTATTATAAAAAAAAGATCCACAAACGTATATGCGTGTGTTGACTCTAGAAATTATATAACTTACGCGGTGTTCAAGCCGGCTAACTACGTCTTTATGTTGATGCGGTCATGCCAATTTACAATCGAGCTTGGTTGGGCAAATGAGATGAATGTGGTGATATGGTGATGAAACATGCTGCAAAATGAAGCTATCACAAAAAATATATCATATGAGTAGCTTTCTTTTTCGTTTAAGAGACATAAATAAGATTTGAAACTATCCTAACAAAGTGAGAGAAATACAGTTAAATTAAAAAGTTTATTAAGGCAATATTCTTGGGTTATGTTTATTGAGGTAATATTTCATTTGGTAAACTTTATTTACTTCCCCCATTGGAAAATCTAACTTTCTAATCATCAAAAAGAAACAAGATTCAACACATTGCATCAATAGCAAGTATTTAATAGCCTTATATAATTTCATTCGGGGGTTGGGTTATCAATAGCCCAATGGGCATGTTTAGTGAGCTGGATGAGATAAGTTATGATTAATTAAAGTCTTATTTTCTAGAGAAGTACAGAACAATATGTTGTGATAAGAAAATGTTTTATTTGGCACTTGGTATTACATTCTAGCGAGATTCCTCATCACTTATAAACGAAAGATGTTAAGTTTGAATATCGAAAGTGACGAGTTCGATACAAATTTATTCGTCTAACTCTAATAGTATATATAATTTGGATAAAAAAAAGGCAAAGAAAACATAGGCAAATTAGTGAATCTAATAAAGGCAAATAGCATACATAAATGAAACCAAAAAGAGAATATTTAAGAAGTCAAACAAAGGAAGGTCAAGGGGGAAATATTTTTCAATGTGTCCGGAATCCGGATGGTATTATTTTTAAAGTGAAACAAAGTGTTTTTTTAAGTATCTATATATTTGTATAATAAAATATAACGTATATATTCGTGTTTCAAGTATATTGAAATATCTGCCGCGACGGAGAATGAAGTAATTAGTAGATTGAGAAAAAAGGGTGGAAATTCAAATGCTGACATGGATTTGAAAAGAGAGAGGAGAAAGAGGAGCACTATCATTTTAAGAAATGTGGGGAATCCAACAGCGCGAAAGATCTCCGAACGCCACATACAACTTGTGGCTCACAAATCTCCCCCCTTTCTCCCCTTTGATGACGTGGCATTCCCACCTCGTAAAACCCCACTCACCCCTTTCCCCCTCCTCCTCTTAACTCCCTCTCCTCCCTCCTCGATCAAAACTCTCACAGAACAACAGGAACAACCACCGAGAGCACCAAAACCAGTACTCAAAAAACATCAAAAGACTCGAACTTTCTGTGCTTTTTGTTCGGAAGACAGATTTTTGCTTCTGGGTTTTGATCGAATTACAAGAATGTCGTCGGAGGGTGAAGGAGGAGGCCACACGATAAAGTTGTTCGGAAAGACTATACCTTTGGCTATGGCGCCACTGAACCGTGAGTCTTCTTCCGCCATTGACGAACCTTGTGGATCTGTTGACCATGACGTCACCGCCACTGCTTGTGGCGGGGGTGGGGGCGGTGCTGAAGACTGTTATGAAACCAGGCAGAAGCTTTCCTCTTCTTCTTCAGCTGCTACCAATTCGGGGGGAGATAACTTGGAGAGGGAAGGAGATGCACAACAAGAGGTATGTTTGAGCTTTAATCTTCTATGGCGGCTGTTGTTTTATTCTAAGAACAACCCATTTTTCAGAAACTCAGAAGTTTAAATGGGTCGATTTTACTTGCTCTTGAGTTTGTGATTTTGGGATCTGAAAAATTGAATTACTTAATTATTCTTGATTATTTGCTGTCCTGAAATCAAGACTGTCGATTTGGTCTGGATTATTCCTTTCTTTTCTGTCCTCTTGATTATCCTGAGGTTGTATCGGGAGAACTCGAGGATGACGTCATGATATTCGGATGGTGGCTGTGTTGGATTTATCAGTCTTATTCTAGGTTTAGTTTGATCCCGTTCAAGTTTCCGACAAATTGGATTTTTGTTGATTTGGTTTACACATTTTTAGTTTTTGGTCAAAATATAATCATAAAATTCCAGTTGAAGTGGTTTGGAAATCAAAGGGCAGAAGTTGCTTTTTTAACTGCACTTTAGAAGTAGCTGATTATGCTTTTGGCTTCTGAGACTCCTTCCACGGATACTTTGAATTGCTTACTCTGTTTTTATAGCAAGGATTTATCCATTTATGTCAAGTTTGTAGATTGACACGGCTGGTAAACAATAGGAGCGGGAGAAAGAGAGGGAGGGGGGTGAAGAGAATTGTAGAGTTTTACTTTGTTTTCGTCGGGATTGGACAACTCTGTGCCAGTTGAACAACTGCTTATAAATTCCGATATGGGCTTTCGGTTTTTATACAGTGATTAAGTTACATCGTCTGCTTCTGTAACTACATTTTTTTCTTTTCCTTCTTTGGCTCCGTTCTTATATATGTTTTGAGAATGACAAAGTTTTGGAGTAAACAATAACGAAATTTATGTATCGAAAGTTCTTCAGACTCTTTTTCTCTTGTTTTATTCTGCTTGAATAACTCAAAAGCGGTTTCTGTTTAATTTATAAATCAATGTTTTAGTATGTATGATCACAACAATCTGTTTATCAGTACATTGAGGGAACTCGGAACTAGTCTTGTAAAGCACTTTTCTGATCAGATATTTTTGTTTGAAATATAGGAAACAATATCAGGAAAAGAACTAGCAGCTGATAAACAGGATGCTGAAACCTCAGATCTAATCACAGAAGACCTAAAAGCTCCTACAACATCATCCGGAATTAGCGAGAATCCTAGAACTCCTTCAGCTGATAGAGAAACTTCATGTAAGAATGGAGACCAGAGCGAGACTAGTAGCTCACAAGATAAGACTCTGAAGAAGCCAGACAAGATACTTCCATGCCCTCGATGTAATAGTATGGACACCAAGTTCTGTTACTACAACAACTACAATGTCAACCAGCCTCGCCATTTCTGCAAGAACTGCCAGAGATATTGGACTGCTGGAGGAATCATGAGGAATGTGCCAGTGGGTGCTGGTCGTCGCAAGAATAAGAACTCTTCAGCATCACAGTATCATCATGTATTAATGTCAGATGCTTTCCAAGCAGCTCATGCTAGCGCTGCAAATGGTGCGCACAGTGCTACTTTGGGAAGCAAAAGCACTGTCCTTACCTTCGGCTCAGATTCTCCTCTTTGTGAATCAATGGCTTCTGTATTGAACCTTGCAGAGAAAAACCAAAATTGTATGCAAAATGGATTTCGTGGACCCGAACAAAGACTCCTAGTGTCTCCCACTGCTGGAGATAATGGGGACGACCGCTCAAGTGGATCATCCATTACAGCTTCAAATTCGACAGAGAGAGGAGGCAAAGCTAATTTACAAGAGCCTTCAGCTCAAAATTGTCAAAGCTTCCCTCCTCAAGTACCATGCTTTCCGGGTTCCCCTTGGCCTTATCCATGCAACTCAGCTCAGTGGGCCTCTGCAATGCCTCCACCCGGCTTCTGCCATTCAGGCTTTCCGATGGCATTCTACCCTGCACCGCCATATTGGGGCTGCACTGGGCCGGGTTCTTGGAATGTACCATGTCTCTCACCGTCCTCTACTCTTAGCCATTGTGCTACAAGCTCCGGTTCAAATTCCCCAACCTTAGGGAAACATTCAAGAGACGAGGACATTACTAATCCATCCAGCTCTCAGAATGAAGAGCCCGCAAAAGATAACAGTTTCGAAAGATGTGTTTGGATTCCAAAAACATTAAGGGTCGATCATTCTAATGAGGCTGCAAGAAGCTCTGTATGGGCAACGCTTGGCATTAAGAATGAAAGGGGAAATTGTGCTAACGAGGGAGGAGGTCACTTCAAGGCATTTCAATCAAGGGGAGATGAGAAAAATCCCGCAGTTGAAGCTTCTTCAGCGTTGCAAGCGAATCCTGCAGCGTTTTCCCGGTCACTCAGCTTCCATGAGAGAACATGATCAAGGCTGAAGTTTGAGTTGAAAACCTTGGCAATGTGAATGTGATGGAAGGGACCCTTCAACCTTTTGCTGCTGACAAATATGACACCTTTTTTTCTTTCTTACACTAAGGCAATGTTTACTGATCAGCCTCAATGTTTTTGAGTTAGATCATATAGATGTATTTTCTTTAATATCTGTGTAACATTATGGATGGGTCCTTTTTGTTTTCAACTCTGTCAGATGCTGCAGAAAGTGTTTCTATACGTACTTGGACGTGAGGTAACATAAGATAGCTAATAAATAGAGAGACTTCGAGGTAAACAAAATCCAATATTTGTTGCATAAACCTTAATTTTTCTCATGTGTTTTTCGTGTTTATTTGGTAATTATCACACGTTGATATTAAACAAGTGACGATCAAGCTCAAAACGTACTGATATAATCAAGTATCACAAACTTAATAAGTTACAAAAGGACGGACATCGATTATTGGTGTTTTAAAACGTAAGAAAACTAGTGAGGAAATTATTTTTTGAAAGCTTAAGGATTGAAAAATCAAAAGAGTGAAAAGTCAAGGTAGGGCCTCAATTGGGAAGATAAGCTTTCAACTCTCGATCAATTTGAGGGGCATCCTCTCCCTCTCAAAAACACAAGGAATCCAAATTGGTAATATTCCATAAAGTGTAAGGCAGTGTGAGCCAAGTATATCCACCAACACAAAAAGTGGCTTTCTTTATCTTTCCACTTTGCTTGCTGGATAATATATCAAAATCACACTTAATAATGATAGAGCGGTGCTGTTCACACATTTATTTTTATTTCTCATATACTTATTTTAATTTTATCGGTCGTATAAAATAGATTAAAAAAATTAATGGACAAAATAAATAAAAATATAAAATATAAAAAAAAGTATGTGAATAGCATTACTTTTATTTTTATAATTTTATATGGGTTTCTCATCCTTCACCAACCGAAGCATTCAGATATTTCCTTGTCTTTGTTGTCACTCGGATGGGGCCACAGTTTATGCGCATAATTAGTTGTTGTGGGACCCATTACATGAGATTTTTACAGAAAATTTCTAAATTTGGGATATATTATGTTTTCATATTATTTATCAAAATACCAAGACTTTTAAGACGCAGACAAAGATGAGTTGCAGGTGTCCAGACCAGTTAGTCAAGTTAATATGTCGGCCGCTTTGCATTTAAATTCAAATATTTTTTTTCTGTAAATCGGTATATTTAGAACCATCACTTGTATGAAAAGGAGAATTTTTTTTCCTTTTTTTTCTTGAATCGTAAAATCATCAGATATGTGTTTTTTGAATGAGACATTTCACGTGCATTTTTAGGATCTACTTGGATTTTACTAATAAATTGGTTTCAAAATGTTTCAGTCATTTTAATAGCACTTCCAAACAAGACCTGATACCTCACGTTGATCCAAATATCTGTAAAAGCTCATGTGGTGGTAATATGTTTGCGTGTTGACATCCAACACTTTCAACCAAACCTTACCAATTACGCTCTTTACTGGCTGCCGTACGGTTTTAATTTCCTCTTTTGATACATAAAATAGAAGATAATTCATATGAAGAAAACCTTTCATTTTCTTTTGTTCGTTGTCTCAACAGACACGTCACATGTGTATATTATTTCCTCGTCGCTTGGGCCTCGTTATTTTAAAGTAATAATTTTGGGCCTCAAAGCTTTTAGAATTTTAGTTGGGCCCAACCAGGTTTGGATCTCAAACTACTCGGAGGTAGGCGAAGAAGGCATACGCCTTGGGCCCAGCGTTTAAAATATTCTCGTAAAAGTGTCCAAATATCCGAAAATCAAGAATTGATATGGAAAGAAAGGTGAAATGCAAACTCTACCTTTTATCGGTAAGATATAGAAAAATTAATGAATATCGACAGTACTTACCGATTTACGGGAGAAATTTTCCTAGAAACGATTGCAAATTTGAAGTTTTGATTTTTTTTGAGAAACTTGTCGCTAATTTTGACTAAATATGAATGTGTTGATATACGCACCTTATTACAAATTTCCATAATTTTTTTTTTAAAACAACCTGTATCGATATCGATATATCTATAAATTTTCATATCGATATAATCTTATTGTACTTGTGCTACCCTAAAATTGACTCCACCCTAGTAAGTGTAATGCTGCATATGGATAGCAGTATACAAGAATCTCTCCCAATTGAGCCCAAGACAACAGGCTTGACATTGGAATTTGTACGAAGCCCAAGGCCCAAACACTAGTTAAGCCTTGTGAAGCGCGGCACCTCCTCTATCAATCTCAAGTCTCAGCTGATGTGGACTGATGAGAGCTCTCAAGTCAAATTCCATCAATGCATGGAGTCTGGATGACCACCCAATATTTTCCTGTTGTGGGTGACAGACATTTCAAATAAAACTCCGCATACCTATCTTACTGTAATTATGTGTTACGGTATTGGACCAGTTCAATACGTGTTGGATTGGACTAACAATAAAGAACCCCTTTGACTTTGAATTGGAGACTTTGAGAATGCATTTGTTATGACAGAGTATTTCGAGCTGGACTAACTTCAAAGATTAAGTTGAATGGTTTTAGATTAGGCTAATGTCATTTGTTTTAGGCTTTCAGCTGATAGTAATATCTGCAATTAGCACTGGTGTTACTTGTTTCAGGCTTTCAGCAGATGGTAATATCATTGAGAAATGCTAAGGAGATTCACTCAAAGTTGAATTTTTATGAATTTCCTTTCACTTCACAGTTTAACGTTAATTTTTCGTTGAGCATTATAAAACATGTTTACAACTATTCGGAACAATTTTTTTTTTTTTTGGGGTGTGCTATCCATACATTCCATTTTACTTCTCACACATCCCTTGATAATTTCTAACTGTTGATTTTCTTCAATTCATCTGATCCGACGGCCAAAAATTAAAAAAATATATGATAAGTAAAATAGGATGTGTAGATATCACATAGCCGTATGAAACTGTCTTAATTCGTACGTATCACTATTTTGCGGTGGGATGGGATGGGATAGGACAAGGAGTCCAGGATTTCCCAAAGGATATTGAGGGAGACTCTCAAAGTAGAATTTTTTTATAGACTTTTTCACATTTTATGTTTGTCACAACAATTTATAATGTTAATATGAAAATCAACATTAAACTGTGAGATTATAGAAAATTCACAGAAAATCTGACTTTAGGAGAGTCTCCTCAGCGTTTCCCTTATCATCTAATACTCCTGTTCTTGTCTTTTTTTGCCTCATCATTTCATCACCATCTCAATTTTTGGTATCCTTTACTACTATTTAATTTCTTAAGCTTCAAACAAATACAAAATTTGAAGAGAGTGTGATTTTCACTTCCGATTTGTCCTTCTGCACTCTTTTTTTTGTTTTTATCTCTTAATTCTCTATTCATTTATTCAAATCAGAGACTAAGAAATAATAAATAAGGAGCGATTGTAAGGTATAAAAAAGAAGTGCACCATCCGCTTCTACCATACTTTAAGTTAATTTGATCCTCGTTTTCTTGATTTGACCAAAAAAAAAATCTCTGTTTTCTTGATCTCCATGTACAGCATTGAAAGAAAGAAGAAAACATGGAAAAAAGTGACTAGTCAATGTGTGACAGTAATCTAATTTATCGTTTTTGACCTTCTGATGAGGGGTTCTCCCGTGAGAATTTGGGGGCACAGTTTTTTTTTTTTTTTTTGACAAGAAACAATAACATAGTCTTTCATTAATCAACATCAAATAATTACAGAGTGTTATTGGATACATAATTCCAATGACCAATAAATTGATCTGGAATGAATTTGCACAAAACAGACAATATAACATTAAAACCCTAGTAGACACCTACAAGCTCAACCACACAGTCGCCAAGCACACAAATCTACCAGTACAGATATGTCACAATAAACAATAGTTGCAATAGAGAGATACCAGTAGACACAACGATCATCGCTGAATAGCGAGGTCACAAAAAGTCATCGCGAAAGTATGAGACCACGTCAAAGTCACCGTTAGAAGACAAGACTCACAATACACAACGCACAAAGGCGAAGACCAAATTAACCATAAACCAACACCACCGTGGTGCACAAGGGCAAGAGGAACTAAACTACACCGAGAAGGATCCGATGGTGGTGGGATATGACTAAAAGGGAATGATGTAGATTTTTCACTGTCAACTGAGTTTAACTAAAAGAACAATAATTTTTTCTTTTTTCCTTTACGACCATCTTTAATTCTTAGGTTAAAACCTAAAATTTTTAACTTAGAAAATTTAAATTTTAACCCAAAAATATTTTTTTTCCCCCAATCCCTTTTGAGTTAAAATTTTAGCCTGAAACTATTAAAGAATGAATTTCTGATAAATATTGAAAAATCACTAAACTGATACCATAAAACACGTGAAACATTATGGAAGAATATGAAACACATAAAATATTTTTTTAATTACTTTAACCGTTAGATTTACATTTGGACCGTTAGATCTTTTGTACCATTGAATTTGATCATATTAGATCTTAACTGTTAGACTAAATGAATTTGTAAATATAAACTAAAAAAAATACACATACATGGTGGCCCAACCCTACTAATCCAAAGGAATTGTGGGCTAAATTTGTCCCAAAAGTGAGTTTTGGGTTAAAACTTATATTTGTCCCAAAGGTTAGACCAAGTTCGAGTAATTTTAGGCCATCTCCAACCGAAGGAGGGCCAGATGGATCTCTTTAGTCCTATAGCTCTCCAAGAAATTATATTTTAATAAACAGTGTCATACCATATTTCATACCATCTCTAACCGAGGGGGCCAAAAGGCCATAGGTCAAATATAGTCCTATAACAAAAAACCATTTACAACCAAGGGGACCAAAGGATTATAGGTCAAACATAATTTATTATTTCAATTTATAGACTACAACTTAAATTTAAAAACTACAACTTAAATATTAAAGACTACAACAACTTAAATTTAAAGTCGATAATCATCATCATCATCATGCGTAATGGTGAAAATTATGTGAGAAATGGTGTAAGAATAGCTTAGGTATTTATAGAAAAAAAATTAGAATTCTTTTATTTTTTATTTTTTATTTTAAAATTTTGTTTGGAAAAAAAAAAAAAATTAAATCCAACAGTAACCTGACGTCAGCATGACGTTAGCTAGCTAAGATTTGCATAACACATCATTTTGGGCAGGCTCGGGGCTAGCTAGCTGGCTCATTTGGGCCAGCTGGTTGGCCTGATTTGGTGTTTTTGGCCCGATCGGGCCCACGAGCCCTTTAGCCTAATCATCGGTTGGAGTCGATTTTCATGTCATTTTAAACTATTTTTAGACCTATGACCCTCTGATCGGATCGGTTGGAGATGACCTTAAATCTAAAATTTGAGTTTTATTCTAAGAGTTGGGTAGGGTGTAATTGGCTTCGTAGTGTTCCTTGGACCACAACCACGTTGAGCCCCTTTTTTCTGATGATTCAAGTGAATAAAAAAATAAAATAAAATAAACCAACCCTTTTCAGTTTATTTATTTATTTTTTTTGGGTTCTAACTTCATCTGCCTCCTACCCCAAGAAAATCAATGAATGGCGGTGGTGGAATGCTCCTCTCACGGTGGCCGCCGCCGCTGCCAACAACTCTGTCAGCAGCTGATGCGGATAGTGAGGGTTTGGCGCCGGAAACTTGACATGAAGAATATGAGTAGCTTTGATGAACAAGGCTGGGGAAGTTTGACTCTTGCATTGCCATCATATTCATGTATGGTGGAGGATGGTGGGTGTACGTACCCTCGCATGAATGATCCTCCACCTCACCTGAACCATCCCGACATCTTCTCTGGCTCATCATCCCCATCACCTCATTGCTCTTCCGACCTGCAATAACACAACCACCATTATGTATTTGAGATTTACATGCAGCTAGGACATCCGTGTGTCTGTAGCCCAAGTTAATCATACACACGACAATGCGTGATTATAGACAGAAAATGATATCCGTCTGTACCCCAAATTAATCATACACATGACAATGCATGATTATGGACTTAAAAGATACTGCTACGTGACATTTCAAATTTAAGCAGGGTATTGGAAGAGAGTTTTAGTCAAATGGAAAGGTGACAAATTAAAAAGAATAAGAACAATGACATACCAGAGAAGAATTTAAAAGGAGTTTGTTGTTGTTGTGAGCAAAATCCACTATTATTATAAGAAAGCAATTTTTTCCTTGTGATTGCTTCTTCTCCCAAACTAATCAAGTTTTGTGAACCATTTGAGCCATAATAACCAACACCACCATAATAGCTTGTTCCATATGAAAAATCCGATATAGAACTACCACCGCTGAGGCCGCCATTGGGGAGACTGAGACCACCGTAAGGTGGCGGAGGTTTCGTACTCCTCGAGGCTGCATCGACGCTTGGATTTTCGTCCACGCTTCTGTAAACTGTTTGGTTTAGCTTCCTCCGATAAGCACTGGATTGCTTTCTGTACTTCCTGGCCATGATAACATGCCAATGGTTCTTCAAAGCATTATCAGTTCTTCCAGGAAAGAGCCTGGCTATCATGGCCCACTTGTTGCCATATATTCTATGAGCTTGCATTAGTTTTTCTTCCTCCTCCTCAGTAAAAGCTCTTCTGTTGATTCTTGGGTCCAGCTGGTTAAACCATCTTAATCTGCAGCTCTTACCTTTTTTAACAAACACAAATATGCAAAAATATATGAATTAGTAGAGATTAGAGTGACTACCATAAAATCAAAGAGAAAAAAAGGAGAGTGCATTGGAGGAAACATGAGTACGAAAATCACTTCCCAAGAAGAAAACTTAACTATACAAAAAAAAGCACTACAAAATTTCACATATTTTTTACCTGACCTTCCTTCCAGCTTCTCTGCAATAAGGTTCCAGTTCTGAGGGCCATAAAGAGTCACAAGTTCCTTAAGCTTGGAATCCTCAGCAGGCCTCCAATGCCCTCTGGCACACAGTTTTGATCGCCCACTTTCTGTTTCCCTCTCACTAACACTCACCCCACCCTCATTAGGGTTCTTATCATGATCACTGCTGGTATATTCTGAGCCCTTCATGTCACTGCTGTTGTGGTGATCCTCATAACTTCTGGTAGAAGGAAAACCCCAGAAAGCCCTCCCATTTTCTGGTTCAGAAAGCTTAGAGATGTAGCTGTTGTCCTGGGAAGAAACTGATGAATATACTCCATAGTTGGATCTCAGAGAAAGAGAGCCCATATCCGCATAAACCATTCCCATTGAACAAGGAGAAGAAGAAGAGGAGGAGGAGAAACAGCTGAAGACATTTGCGTTTTCTGTTGCATATATAGCACCATTGTTGGCCATCATTTTTTTTACATTGAAGAACTGTTACAAAGTCATCTTTGAAAAGATTGGAAAAATAAATTAGAGAGAGAGAGAGAACTCTAGTGAGAGCTAGGTAGGAAGAAAAAGGACTGTGTTTTGCAGGTGAGAAAACAAGAAACAGCAAAAATAGCAAATAGTGTTCAGAAACCTACACAGCCTCTCACCTCATCAGTCTCACTGTCTCTGTGTAGGGAGTTGCAGGAGAGAGAGAGAGAGAGAGATAGAGAGGGGGGAGGGGGTTTACCTTGGGTTTCAGTTAACCACCTGAAGTTGACCCAACGACCATCACCAAACCCAATTTGGCCATGAATAATTCGCTTTGATTTTTTCATGTCCCTTCTTTCACAGCTTTTATGACAGTCCAAAAAGGCAACTTCCTTAACGTCATCCTAAACCCCACCTCTCCACCTGTTTCTGTCTCTCTCAGAGAGGAGGGGGTTCACGAGTCATGTACGTAGGGAAGACATCAATTTCATTATTTATGGCTTCCATAATCCAGGATTCTAATGACCTTATTATATAGAAGCAAAAGATTCTAATGACATCGAATCAGCAGCTAATTAAACACACACTACTGAATAATCCAATTCATATATATATATATATATATATATATATATATTAAATCGAACATAAAACTTCGGGTACATAAATAAACGTCTGTAATTAATTGAGTTACAAATTCTTCAATTATACCATTGTAATAATAACTAATGAACAGTAATTATTGTTGGTTTAAGGTTGCCTTTTGATACAAAATAATGCTAGCTTAGGGTTGCCTTTTGATATGCAAATAAGTTTGAACTAACTATGGTAAGCAATAATAACTAATGACCAGTGATAGTAAAATGCATAAAAATTATGAAAACTGGTATTATTGTTGGTTTTGACTCTGTGGAAGAAAACCCGTTGCAGACGTTTGCTTCATTTAGTGTGTGTCATAATATTCACCGGAATGTATGATCTATGCTTTGAAGAACTGAGCAGTTTGGGTCAAAATCTTTGAACTTCCTGATCCCATTCATATGAGAAATACTAATGAGACTCTCAAAGTGAGATTTTTTGTGAATTCTCTAACACATAACGATTTTGGTACAATATTTTATAATGTTAGCACGAAAATTATGTCAAAAAATGAAGTGGTAGAAAATCTACAGAGAATCTTAATTTTAATAGTGTTTCCTTAGCAATTCTCCATGAATATTATTATATCAACAGAAACAGCCTTAACATAACACCTCAAGAATTACAAAACAACCCAATATCCATCACAGATATAACTCATAAACAAGACAACAGTAGATCATCAAACCCTGATTTGGTTCTATTTACTTGGACAGTCTAGCGTTCAAACATCCGTATATCCATACATTAAAGTAATTTAGAAAACACTATTTCTTATAGTGCCATCTAATAACCATTTTGTTTTTTATTTTTTATTTTTGTTCTCACTTTTTTTTTAACTGAAAATCTGTTTGATAACTATTTTCAATTTAAAAAAAAATGAAAAACTAAAAAAAATCAAAAATGAAAAACAAAAAAAATGAAAACTACTTTGAAACTTTGTTAAATTTTTGAATAATTTTCAAAAAAATAAAAACTGGAAATTAAATGATTATTAAACTGCTTACATCATTTAAGAAATGAGCCTCATTTCACGGATCTGGAGTTCCTTCTAATTCCTCTAAAAAACTCTCAGTCAATTAGTCAAACACATAGCATTAGGGGTCCCAGCAAGCCAAAGGGTGATGCACGTTTGTGTGTCACTGCTCTCTCAGTCTCTCACTGTACTAGCTCATTGCTCATGCCTGTAGCATTTGAGGTCCATGTATGTGCATGTGAACATGCTTTTGAGATCCCTGCTTGCTGGGCTTTCTTCATGTCATCATCATATCCATGGAGACCCCACGTCGGAAGCCGCAAAACAAAACTAATTTCTATCTGGCCATGTCATATATATTCATCCACATGATCAATGACTAATTAAACCAAGGTTAATTTGCATGCTTAAACTTCAATTAAGATTACAAACTAAGACACTACTACTCTCATCAGTGAGGCAAAGACAATAGTGTATGCATCCAAGATTACTGCAGACTCTCTTCAATTATTGAGTGGACTTGGTCAGTCAATTAGGGCTTAAAAGCTATTCTACGTGAAAAATTTTACCAAATTATCATACCAACCGTCCTACCATCCATACCATACCAAATTATTACCAAAAATTTGTACTAATTGGTAATGGTACGGTATTTGTACTGTACCATACTGTTTTGGTACGGTACTGGTATCCAAAACCAATACTAGTGGTATACCGTACCTACTAATATTATTAATATTATATTATGTATTTATTCATATAATTATTTGAGGGAAAAATTAATAAAATTAATAATAATTATTGTAGAAGTGTAAAAAATGTAAAAAGAAAAATATACAATCACTTATAGTGACAAGCTTTACAACTTTCATGAAGATGTCAGCTTCAAAATCCAACACTTTTATCCATAAACCTGAAATTTATATTTAATCGTCGATTGTCATTTACGCTTTATTCTTCTTACTAAATTTTATTTTTAAAATTTTATTTTTTGAAAACATGATCATCTGGCGGATGCAAGAAGATGAACAGTTCAGATCTTTGATATCACGTTTCGATATTTACAGTTAATTGAAATATAAGTTGATGTCATATAGTTTGTAGAAACTTTATAAACATCAAGCAATATTTTCACTAACCATAAAACTCTGAACATAATATCAACGATCCAAACCGTTCATCTTCTTGCATCCTCTAATAGATCATGTTTTCAAAAAAGAAAATCCGAAAAAAAAAACAAAATTTGATAAGAAAAATGAAGTGTAAATGTAAACAACAATCAATGGTTAAATTTTGATCTATGATTTATTGATTATAATGGCAAATTTCAAAGTTAAGCTCTTTACGAAAGTTGTAAAGCTTGTCATTACGAGCGTTTATATATTTTTTCTATATTTTTTACACTTCTACATTAATTAAAAAATATTAGATTTTGGGCAAACTAAGTGGCGTAAAACAAAGTGGCAATTACCATTGACATACCATACCAACCAAACTATTTGGTATACCGATATTCGATATACCGAAAGTTTGGTACGATAATAGTAATAGATTTTGCCGTACCAAATATTTGGTATGGTAATTGGTATATAGATTTTGATACGGTAATGTACCAAAACCACCCCTAATTCTACTCTATTATTGGGGAGAATATGCAGTATTACCGACAGTGAGATAAATATATGCACGAGTAAAGTAATAGGTGATACAGAAATGTCCGTGTATGCGATGAGAGCTTTTCTAAAGATGACAGGACGGATTAGTTATGAATTAGTAGACAATGTTGTTAACTGGGAAATAGAAACGAACTCTCACTTGGTCCCCAACTTTTCAGACCAGCTATGGGAAGACAAGTGAAAACCATACATCACATGTGTGTGGATCGTGCGAGTGTGTGGGTATTCAAATATTGACAGGTACAAATGAACACTACTTATTAGTGTAAAGAATATGTTTCCCATCATCATATCTCTCATATCATCCGCCTTCTCTCACACCTTCTGTGCTTTCTTTGTTTTCTTCTCCCTCGGCCAGTCTGCCCCCTCCCCACATGTGCCCCCATGTTTGCACGTGTATAACTAAATCTCAGACTCTGCATGAGAGAACCATTGGCATAATTAACTACTTTGCTACCCCAAAATTAAAATGAATTGAACTGAAGGTATGTATAAAACTATACACTAATGATGTTTTAATTTGTGAAACTAAAATATGTTAAATTGAACAATGACACAAATATCACAGCTTGAGAAAATATACGATATTCATTATGATAGAAGAAAGAAAGTGCCTCAATTAAAAATAATTTGCCAGGGCTTTTAACCCGGTGTAATACAAAAAAATTATATGTAACATATACATTAGCCTATTAACAACTACTTAGGTTAAAGCATGTCCATAAGAAATAAAAAAGGATTATATATATATAAGATGATTATAAGTGGATTGGAAAATCAAACAATCAAGATGCATACATAACATGTGAAACGTTTCAAAAGCTTCAGTTTGTATATCACATAAACAACAATAAGAATTTTACATTTGGAGAGTGGATTTGAATAGAAAATTGTCGATCATGCAGTTGTACACATAGGGTATATGAGACATTTTTCGTGTCAAAATTCGTGTCATTCATGTTAATTTTCCTATTTCAGCAAAAGGTTTTTGTAACCATCCCTATAACATCCAATTTCCCTAACTTTGTCACTTTATTATTATAAATATTATGTTTTGGATCTTCAAATGATCATGAAGAAATTATAGCAATGATCGTTCAACTTTAACTCAATTGGAGCAATGGTCCCTTAACTAAAAATCCATGACCAGGTCCCTTAACTCATCAAAAAGTGTAGCTATGGTCATTTTCGTCAACTCTATTAAAACTTCCGTCAAATGAGTCACATTTCATGCACGTGAGGTTGAATTAAGGAGCAAATATAGAAAACCAAATGAAAAAAATCGCAGCAATGGTCCCTCAACTTTAACCCAATTAGAGAAATGGTCCCTCAACTTTAACCTAATTGAAGCAATGATCCTTAACTTTAACCCAATTGGAGCAATGATCCTTCAACTTTAACCCAATTGCAGAAATAGTCATCCAACATGAGTCATTTTGACATAAATCTGATAGAGTTGACGAAAAGGACTATAGCTGCAGGTTTTGATGAGTTAAAGAGACCAATATTCATGAATTTTTAGTTGAGTGATCATTGCTCCAATTAGGTTAAAGTAAGGGATCATTATTACAATTTTCTCATTAATCATACTGACATGATATACTCTTTTGTTGTTGGTTGTGAGCATGCACATATTGTGTATAAAATATGCATGTGTAAGAGAAAGGCAGGAGAGTGTCATAAAAATATGGAAGAGTTTGTTATATACTGAGGGCAAGTGAATGAACGAACATGCTTTTGGGGTGATCCATGTAAAGACACGGGAATAGGCTG